CCTGAGAGGATGAACAACACATTCACATCCACATTCAATCTCTGGCAACCTTGTCATGTCACAGTTAGAGAGACGAACAGATAATTACAAAGATCTTCTGATATAATTGACAATTAGCAGCCCACTGTGAAATGCCCCCGAATAAAGATTGGGCTGATTGGACCTCATTATGAACCTATTACTGGAAAATCTTTTGTTCGTCTTCTTTAAGCCAACTAATTGAACACTGAGTGTGACAATAGGAAACTTCATGATTTTCAGACGCATCAGTTGCCTTCATGCTTGGCCTGGCCTAAAAGGTGTATAGATCTGCATTGTTACGGGTAACATTTGTTTAACTCCTTTCAACTGCAGAGTTTATATGTTGTTCTTATTTAAGTTAGAAATATGGTGTGTGTATAATGGTCATGCTGTAAAAATTATCTTGACTGCTTATGAAAATCACTGTCAAGGGGAAATAAAATAATTTCATTTCAAACTAAATCTCAAAAGAACTACCTGGATAACATGATCTTGGACTGAGCAATGTTGGCTGCAATCAAGTTGGAAGATCAATTTTAGACTTAATGTGGTGATGACGATAATAATGATGATGATGCACCATTTCTGCTTATAAAAAAGTCCATTTCTATTCAATATTTAAATAATCTTAAGCTTTTGCTATAAAGTCTAAGAAAAAAAATAATGAAAAATTTATAACTTAAAAAGCAATCATACAGACACATGTACAACAAATATTATGGCTCATATATTACAGGCCCGTAGCCAGGGGGGGGGGGGTTCGAAAGAACTGCCCCTTTTGCTGGGAAAAGGTCTACTCTGGGTAAAATTTGATCTAGGTGCATGAAGTTTTTATGGGAAAAGGTCCACTTTTTCAAAAAGGAACCCCCCTTTTGAAATTGCTGGCTACGGGCCTGTATTATAAGTTCAGAGAAATAATTTCTCCCCTATGAATACATCATCAACCCACATGATTTTTGCCCTCAGCAGTGTTTGGTGGACAAATTGCCAATTGTTACTTTAAATGTCATTTTATGGTCACTGGCATAACAGAAAGCTCCTCATCTTTACAGGACTTTAAATACCAGGCAGCATGCTGCAATCTTTCCTTCTGTTTGCCCATCACTTTATTGAAATAACTACAAAATTTCTGTGAGATACAGAAGAGAAATTATATCTAGAAAATAACACGACCCCTGAGAAAAGATTATCAATAAACTGCCTGCTTTGTTCACACAGTTGCTATGCTGGAGAGCATCTGATTTGATCAACCAATAAAATTAAACAATGCACTATTTTGACATCCTGGAGTGTAGCCAATCAATAAAAGTGTTAGTTTGCACTAGTTTCCAACAAAAAGTCCACATTTCCCCAGGAAAAATGATTTCAAGACAAAACAGAGACTTCCTGGAAAGGAATATTGAAAATACATTAATCAATTTATTACAGAAAATGGCGACCTGCATGTGTCATTAAAAAAAAAAGGGGTCCTAAAAAATCATGTTGTACCAAACTCAAATTACATGTTTTATTTGAGCATTTTTTCCTAATGGCTAATTAAATGCAGTGTACAGTAACTTAAACAGGTCGAAACTCACGGCTTTTTTGGTGAAAAAAGATATAACAGCAAGTCAAGGGGGCATAGATGATCATGCAAAAGTTCACCACATCAGTCTGTTGTGACATACAGAGTAAATGAAATTTAAATAAGTTGAAGTATAAAGCTTTCTGGTGAAAATGATTATGTGTCAGTAAGCCAATTGGAAAAGCAAAACATCTTTTAAAGATTTTTTAGGTTTAACACATCAGTCAGATATGACATAAACTATGGGTGATCACTATCAGCACAGATCAAAGAATTAACACATGTTCTATGCTGCAATTTAAAAGATCATTGTATCATTTCACACATACTTCAACAGTATTTAACTATAAGGTGCCTCCACCTTGTTGAAATGTATAAATGGGCTGGGATGTTGATCACTAGTTTACCTCACAGCACACCTGCCAAAGAACAGTAACACTCACTCGGGACTGCAAACTGGGACACACACAGTGTGAACAGTGTGCCTTTCAACACTTAAGAAATGCCTCTGTTAAAATGTACAGCCTTGTGACTGCTTGGAAAGCAAATTTTGGCTCTCTCTCATTATGGTAAAACAGTCACAAGCTTAGTCTAACAGGAGCTTCAGAAAAAATTAAATAAATAAATAAATAAATAAATAAATAAATAAATAAGCCAAGTTGATTGCTATATGTCATACTGACAAGACTCATAAAAATAACTTAAAAGCTTCTGTCATATATCTAACAATGCAAAACAGACCACAGATGAGCTTAAATTATTCAAAAACTAGCTGACAATAATGACTTGCCATACAATATGATCTTTTTACTTCCACAAATCAAAATTACTAGAAATGTTTCACTTGCCAGTGTGAGCCTGGCAGGAGAGAAATGAACACAGTGGATAAAAGCAGGTCATCTCTATATACCAGTGGTGTCTATCAGTTTTAGGGCAGGCCGCCTGCAGACATAGCTACCCTGCCTGTATATTACATTCACCTACTGTTACAGGTGTAGTAAACGTAGACACTTTTTACATAACTGTCAGACATTATCTGTCGACTGTCTCCATCTTAGTCTCCGTAGTGCATTTATTATTGTTAACACTGATATATGATTTAAAACTTGCTGGGGGATTTTATATGCAAGATGACAGACAATTTTAAATCATCTTCAGTTAGAGAAGCTCTTTCTTTATTCTAAGTACAGTATTTATCCTTAAAAAAATAAATTTATAAAAAATTTTAAGAGTAAAAAATTTTTACTATTATAGAAATGCCATCATTTATATATTTTGATATTTTTTAATTTTAATTATAATTTTGTCTTTATAATGCATGCATACATATATGATAATGTTGCACACCTCAAACATCCGTAAATATTATCCCAATCAAAATTTTGAAACTCCGGAACATATGAAGAACTGCCAATCTCTTCATATCAGTTAATAAAAAATCTCATTCTTTTCTTGGTAACACAAAGGTCAATATTTGATAAAAATAACTTTTACATGACGGGAACAAAGGAAAATCAAGTCCACCCTGAGTAATAATTCAATTTTCTTATCACACTGATTAGAGAAAATCACATTATGAATATATGACACATTAATTTCCAGTGAATCACAGCTCTCTTTATACCAGTTCTGAAGTCTGGGTTAGAATTTAACAGATTGACAAGACCAAACTAATGAATCTGCATCATTCCAATTCAATTTGTGGCCCCTATCTTTTCAAAGGAACTTTTACGTAAGGTACAGATTGGTTGATCAATAACACTACATGGGGGACAAAAAAAGTATCAGATCATAATGCTAAAATCCCTGATATTAGAATTGAAAATCTACAAATGTCTGAGGGACGATAACATAATTTCCTCAGAAATAATTCTAGTAATTCTCCACAGAATAATGGCTGCTAATCTTTTTACTGCATAAACCATGTTCAGGGATTATTACTGAGAGCCTCTGGGTCTTCCTCAAGAGAAGACAATTTATACCACGTAGCCCTCTAAGTGGGTAAGGTTTACCGTCTCAGCAATCTCAGGGTGAGAAGATCTGAGTACAAGTTGCCTTCGACATTAACCCTGAGTAAACATTATATCCTCCACAACATTTCAAAGCATTACTTGGAGTTTCCTTTTAACTCTCTTAACAGACCAAAAACGATCAATATCAGCTCAATACAAGTACAAAATTGCAATATTTAGTTTGGAAGCTGACCCTTTCACTGCGACCACAGCTATTTCTACCTCAGTTAATAACCTGTAAGGATTAGTGAATATGCAATCAACAGAGCTGTACTCCTATAGTGGACGCATACTTAAGCTCTATTATGCTGTATATGTCACTGGTAATAGAGGTGGTTACACAATAATGGCTTGTCATGTGCCATTGCAACAATACGAATTGAACCACATAACCGATCAGAATGGATGATAAAGGCAGCTCCTCGCTTTCTTCTGGTACTTGTTGTATACCGTTATTTCCATTTTCTATCAGCAGAAAACAAAAAGGCTTTTCCTACGACAGTATGTACATGTAGTATCTTAGTTCAGATAAATATACACAGTATACAACTTAAAAGGGTAGTCTAGAAATTTCTATTTTTTTGTATTTAAAAAAATATATAAAGGGTATAAAATTTGCCAGAAAAATAGAAAAAACAATGCTGGACTTGTCCATGTCAACCGTTTACATTCTATTTTTCACTTGTTTATTGGAGAAAAATAATATTTCTTATCAATCACAAGCAAACTGCAATTTTATTTCTGCAAAAAAAAAAAAGTCTTGTTTAAACTTTAAGCTAGAACTTGTCATCAGTCAAAACCTACATACAAGACAAAGACATTATTCCCAATGACAATTCGGATACAATAAAAGAACAGCAGTTCAGCTATAATTACTAGTAGATGCCCCTAGTCAAGGTAAGAGAGGCTGAAATAGGGAACTTTTTACATTTTTTTAAAGGTTGGCTTAAATGCCATTGCTCATCTGAGTGTTGATTATAAACCTAGCAAGGTGTTTCAGGGTCCATTAGACAATTCAGTGGAAAAGGTACATCCTTTACTGACTGTACTATGTAGGGGTATAAACACAGTTCAAGACAATTTCATATCTCCAAACACGGAAAAATTCATTAAAAGTGAACATAAAAATATAAATTAATAAATATAATATCAATTTACTGCCTTCAATGATGTACGTTTCGTGGCAAAAACACTGGTTTACTATCATCTTCTGAAAATCCGCTCTTTCCAACCCAGCGCTGTACTTCACATTGTAACGTTGCTACACGCCAGTATACTGCACTACGAATAGTAAGCAATATTTACGATCGCCGCTTGAACTCCGCAAAGCAAAACAACAGCAAATCACCTCAAGCAATGTGTTATCTCCAAAAATCAAGATTTGAACATTTTTGAATACTTACATGTTTGTGTCTTCTTGCTTATTCCTTTGTCTAGTATCAATATAATAATCCAAAAGTACGTGGAAGCAGTAGCGAGGTATTCAAGCACTTGCGCCATGTTCGCGTTTGATTGATAGCTAGTTCATTTCCGGGAATGTCGCTTTCAACGATAAGGGCTAACGCGCGTCGTATATTCAGGGCATTGTTGTTAGTTTATTGGCATGAATGCACAAAAATGCAGCAGAGAAGACTCCTCAACACGATTGCATCAAGATATCCAAGCAATTGCGAAGGGCGCCAATCACAATCGGGAATTATACCCACAAAATTTCTCCCTGGTTTAATATTACTATTTTGAAAGAGTTAATTAGTTAGTTGTATCCCCCCATATATTATATTACACTAACAAAAAAAGACATTATATATTTTTTTTCTATTTTTTTCTGATACGTAGGCCTACTTCAAGATACATATGAACCGAGCATCAATGGGGCATGAATTCCCAGTTATGCATATAAATCACTTATACTAGTCTCTTATGCCTCTCAAATAAGTTCGACATGCCAAAGGATAAACCAAATAAATCACTCGATCAACAATAAAAGAGCAGTAAACTGCTCCTTTCTTTAAATTTTTGGCCCTAAATTTAACCTACTTAGGCCTACCTGTTTTAATTATTGGCCCCATTGATATACAGCTTAGAAATGTAGCAGAAACATCCGTTCAAATCTCATTTTTGAGGTAATATCAAACAATGTCTTTTGGTAATTATCTTAGTTATACTATATGAAACTATATGCTGGCATTTGGTTGGCCTTTGTGACAAAAAATTAACTTCATATGCATTTTAAAGCAAAGTCTAATACATTTGCATATGTCAGTAACTCGAAGGGCATTAAAAACGATTTTATAAACGTGTAAAGTCAATAGAGGTAGATTTTTTCGACACTTGAACGTATCTATACAGTCACTGATTACGAATAGGAGTTCCTCCCTTTGAATCTCACCATCTCACGAATCTTTTCCCGTGTACCTTCTTATCCCACCTGTCTCCCTCAATGATCAGACTTTGTGCTGATAATAATATTCTACAAGTTAATTAATTTATTATTATTATTAATATTTATTTTATATATTTTATTAAATTTATTTATTTATTTTACAGAAATTATTACTAAACAAAGTACTGAAAATTGCGCAGAATTAAACAGATGAATCATACATTCTTTCTTTTTGAAACTTTTGTAAATATAAAATTTCGTACAAAGAATCTTGTGAGAGATTTGTGGCACTCGTATATTAGGCAGCTGATTCAAAGCAACATAGTATAAAAAGCCTATGAAACTGACATTTGGTACTGGGGAGGGGGGGGGGCGTCAGGACCTTGCTCTATCCCAGCCCCTTACTATAACCCTCGACTATTATGTCGAAACGACGTCGTGCATTATCTGTCTGTGACGCCATCCAAGTTTGCTCCAATAGGATGTCAGAGAAGCACGAAGCCTGCTTTTCAGCTACGGAACGTTATCCGGCGGGTACAGATGGGCTTCGCCTCTCTTCAAACTTGGAATTGTGTTCGTTAACAATGCAGTGCATCGGCTGTGATCCATACGATGGGTCGAAATGGGGCTTTTGCGAACGTCCCGTGCCTCGTAGAAATCGGATAAATTGGGGATTTAAGAACCGAAGATGCAGTTCGTCACAACTCCTTGGGATCAAAATCATTGCCATAAAGCGATATTGCAATGACGCAGTCGAATACTTCAGTTAACGAACCAGACGAATATACGAAGCTGGCGATGTTGAAAAACTTAACACGATATCCAAGTCATCAAGGCGGTTGAGATTTACAGGTCGACATCACTTCACTAGCCGTTCGTGGGCATTGCTTCTCGGCCTTTTGGCTAAGATCAAAGTGTAGTATCTGTTCTTATCAGCTTAATGTCTGATACGTCTCCTACAGGCACCCTGAGCTTCAGAGATAACTTGACACTAACCTCTTCATTATAGCCTATCTTCATCGTGTCAAGTTACCTCTGACGAAAATAGTTTGACCTAGATTATATAAGCCAATCGAATCCAAGTTTCAAAATTTTTCACCAAAGTTTGGTGAAAACGCTGATTGGTTGACCGTCAATCGGT